AGCCATCGCCAACGCATTCTGCGCGCTTGAGGCTGGCGCGACACACATTGACACGTCGGTGCTTGGTATCGGCGAGCGTGTGGGTATCACCCCTCTCGGAGGACTCGTCGCCTGCCTATATGCTGCCAACCCCGAATACGTGCGGTCGAAATACAACCTTCCCATGCTCCGCGAGATCGAGAACCTTGTTGCTGAAGCCGTCGAAGTCTCTGTCCCCTTCTGCAACCCCATCACCGGGTACTGCGCGTTCACCCACAAGGCTGGTATCCACGCTAAGGCGATCCTGAACAACCCGTCTACATACGAGATCCTCAAGCCCGAAGACTTCGGCCTGACGCGGTACGTCTCCATCGGCCATCGTTTGACTGGGTGGAACGCCGTCAAGAGCCGAGTGGAGCAGTTGAAGCTCAACCTCACGGACGACCAGATCAAGGATGTCACTGCTAAGATCAAGGAGCTTGCGGACGTGCGCACACAGAGCATGGAGGACGTGGACACGCTCTTGCGTGTGTATCACAGTGGTGTCGAGAGCGGAGAGCTCGAGCTTGGGCAGAGGCACGTTCTCGACCGTTTGCTCGAAAAGCACAGGAGTCAGAGCCAGGAGCGTATGGCATCTGTCGCGTGATGCATTGGTAGGAGGGGACAGCACTCTTGCATTAGGGAGGAAAAGCCCGAATTACGGGCATGCATGGGATTTGATTATATTTGCAATGTATTTCGAACGCAAAAGTGAATAGATGCTTGTATACCTCATTATTTTGACTGTCAGGCGAGATAGAGCCGGGTCTTATCACCGACACACGTCCACCGCCCAACATCGATCTGCCCAGAACTGATTGCACATTTCCCCAACTATCTATGGATCTTCAAAATGAAATTTTCACCAGATCAACTCGACCGACTTAGAATCGCTATAGTAGGCTGCTAACATTACCTGAGAGTAAGAATGACGCGTGTTCGGTAGGCACTTCTCCCATGGCCCCCAGGCGTGCGCACCGGGCAACGTACGTGTATGCGCTTTTTTTGGTCCGTGATGCTTTACATATATTGGAATATCAACAGAAGCGGTCAAGAGATTTCGGGATGCGTTTCCGTGGAAGGATGGAAAGGAGGAAGAACACTGGAAGAACCAGGCAGATGACCTTCGCCTGAAGGTGGCACAGATGCAGCAATCCAACGACCTCCTGCAGATGGGTAAGTAGCTCTGCGCGTCATGAATAAGGTTTGAATACATAACCAGAGGATTGTTAGAGATCTTGACCTTGAATGAGAAGTTGGCAGCGAAGTTCGAGACGATACCTTGGCAGAGAAGCGTCCTGCAGCACCCGAACCGGCGACCGACGCTCAACCGAAGAAGAAGAAGAGGGAGATCGTATCCCCACCAACATTGAGCGATCCAGAGGAGACTGGAACGCAGTTGTCTAAACTCCAATGTATACTGGAAACGCAGAGTGAGTACGACGATTGGAAAGATCGCGGTTTTCTCACACGGACCATAACTCACTGCAGCAACCGATCATGTGTCGTCAAATGGTCGCGAACTCCTTTTCATCCTACGCGGTATCCAAGTAGTTCTCATGTCGCGACCGTTGGACAAAGAGCTTCTTGATCTTTAGAGCACGCGCTCGATCGCATTAGTCTTGTGCTCAAGCAACTACTGAAGGGCCACTGTCTGGGAGCTTCTGTCGTGTCTTTGCCCGATGGCCTTCCCCCTTCGTCTTCGCACATACCATTAGCATTCTCGATGTCTGGAATGATCAGCGCACTCCTCGGACACGTTGCGGCGTACTTTGCGGAGGATCTTGAGTCATTCAGCCGGCTTGTTGGCGACAACATATTGTCACCTCCAACGAACAACATCCTTCCACTGACTCGAAGTCTTCTGGCCCGCGCGCTCGGTTCCAAGAAATATACAAGCAATTTGGACGATATACGCTCTGCTCTGTCGGATATGATCACGAATGTGCTCTCTTCTACCGTGAACGCTATGAAGACAGCCGCCTGTCAGCAGGTCGCGCTTGATGCTGTCAAAGGACTCGAGAATGCTTTCTTCTTGGAGCATGTGTCTTATAAGGCACCAGCTCTCTGAAGGAAGCATCGACAAGAGCGATTGGCACGGAAGGATGCAGTACCCCATCTTTGCTCGATCCTGCGCGCAGCGCTGTCCTCTCATAGGGAAGCACTCCTCGAGAGCAAATCCCCTCGATCCTTATATCTTACCTCATCCACTCTTGACAAACTGAGCACTCTGCAGTTCGCGCTTTTCTCTTCCGGTTCAAGGGATAACGAGCGTGACTTGCTACGCGGTAGATCTGATCTCGGAGTCGTGGCCGAGGACGCGCTTCTGTCTGTTATCGAGTTTGCATGGATGTGTTGCCCAATCGATGAGAGCGTGGAAGAAGCAGAGGACGGAGGGCTGGAGGATGTTCAACATGAGCGAAGAGAGCCAGCCGACGTGGTGGGATATAGCACTGAGTTGATACCTTCCCATATTTGTTCTGTGTAACATACGAGTAGATGGCCTGTAAACTGAGTGTGGTGGGGACAGGTGGCCTGCGGACGGTACCAGCTGCTCTCAGACCCAACCTTTCAAAACAACCTGATGACCTGCTTCCGCGGTTCCTATATCCTCTATGTAATTCCCGCGTTTAGCTTCTTAGAAGAGTGGCTTTTGGGTGAATTCCCATGGCGAAAAAACAGAGCATCACCCCCAGGTGTGACGGAAGAGGCACAGACTTTGCTCGTCCTGCTCAAGGTTAGATGACTCTTGATTCTCTCTCACTTCGACTCTCGATTCTCTCTCACTCTCACCTCAACATGGCTCACAGCACTGGTGAACAGGTGGGTGCACGCAACAAAAGGCCTATGATACTCTTACATGAACCTCCTCATACCCTATGCGACTTTATCATTTCGCTCCCACAACTTAACAACTTGCAAAAAACCCATTACGCTGCTCTAAAAGCCACCTACCCGGAATTTGTTCCCCCTGAGATGGAGGGGATCGTGAAATACCTTTTTGAAGCATACAGAAACCCTACGGGTGTGTGTGACCCGAGGATGTTCCAAAACTTGGCTCGCAACTACCCGTATCAAGGCGTTGCCAACTCTCGAGTGTTCTGCCTCAGTGGGTGTCATGTGGGTGTCTACGAGGTTTACCAGACTGTCATCGGAGTTTTCGGAGGTCATTTGGAACAGGTAAGCCCTGCCACTGGTGTAACTTTTCAGAGCGCTGAGGCCACGCGTACAGCTTTCAGACGACCAGATCCTCGAAATAGCTCAAACCCTTACCAAATCCTCTGATCATAACGGCACATTCTCCCACAACATTCTTACGAAACTAGGCTGGATATGCCGCCACCCGCTTGCGAACATTCAACAAGATTTTATCAGCTACCAATACTCTAGCTTTTCTTACTACAAACTAGGCTGCCAACTCAACATTGTGATGGCTAATCCTGCTTCGCCTCACTCTGTTGTTGTCCATACCCCTGGCAAACTGGAGTTGAGGGATCAATACATGCTACTCGGATGGAGCTACTCCGAATCCTTCCTGAGCAGTTTGAACTACTCTGCATCGTTCCTAAGGATACTGAGGTCCCTCAACTTTTCTATGAGTGAAGAAGAGAAAACCTCCGCATTAGGAAGGATGGAGAGGCGGATCAAGGCAATCAAGAGGGTTCGAGAGTCCAGTCTGGAGGTCTATGACGAGACGTTTCTCGTGCATATGGAGGTGCTCGAGTCTGCAGCGAGGAAGTTGCGGCCACCACGCGGAGTACAGCTCTTGTGGGCCATACTGCACGAGAAGCTCCGTAGAGCAGATATGCAAAGTCTGTCTTACCTCCTCCTTCTCTGACACATTCTTACCTCCGAACCAGAGCTGTGCCCAGTGGACTTGTCCTTGATCCCAGAAGAGCACCTTGTAACCTTCTGGCATCTGTGCCACACAGCGCACTGACTCGCATCGGCCTTGTACGACACCCTCCTGTTCTGGATCATGGCCCAGCGTCCTCCACTGATGACGATTTGGCCAGACGAAGGGAGCGTGTACATCGATAAAGTTGTGAGACACGTAAGTCTCTCCTCAAGCCATTCTCTTGCAAAGGACTGACGGCAAGCCAGTTCTCCCTCGTCCGTCGACAACTTGCACTGTTGGGTGGGCTGCACAAGCTTACCAAGGTACCGGTCTACCTCTTCTCTCTTGATCGACTAGAGGAGTTGGTGCGGGTCAGGGAGATGGTACATAGCGAGGTGGTGTTGCTGCTGCAGGTCAGGGAGACGCTGGGCTTGGAGCAGGATGCATAGGTGCAGGGGGGGGAGGGAGTTTGTACGGCTTGAGAGTCGTGAGTAGCCCAGCTGTGCTAATGTATGAGGTATGGTGTCTGGCCTGCAGTACAGTTGATCGTTTTCCCCTTCCTCATCATATGTCGTTCTTTGATCAAGCAGTCTGGCGGGTGTTGGCTGTCAGTTATCAGTTGGTTGTCGGGTGTGAGTTGTCCGTTATCCGTTGTCCGTTATCCGTTGTCCGTTATCCGTTGTCCGTTATCCGTTGTCCGTTGTCCGTTGTCCGCGTGTGCCTCGTGTGCGCCTGGCTTTAGGTCCATGCGCCTCCGGGACCCCAAAGTGTGCCCTTTTCTTGATATTCATTTCACGATCGCACAATTGTCGGCGACGTCCCTAATCGTGTTCATACTGTGCTGTACTAATACTATTACTGCTTGTGCTACTGCTGATCAGATTACTCGGGTATGAGCCTAGGATGTTCCTGAGCTCATCCCTCGTGGCGGACAGTATTTGTAACTTCCAACCGGCACAAGCTGAAAGAAGTCCGGGCAATCCTCGATGGTAGTGTACAGGTCGACTCTAAGGCGCTGGATAGTGCGTCCGCCCTTCTCTTTGCTCGTTTAGGCCAGGAGTGACGTGTTGGCTTTTGTTGGTTGTTGGTCGTGCATGCAGTCCCCGAACTTCAGGGAACGACGCGTGAAGTCTCGCGTGCAAAATGTCAGCGAGGTGAGAGGGGGAGAGGGAGGAAGAAAGGACGCCCTTTCTTCCTCCTTTCTTCCTCCATCTCCCCCTCTCACTCCCTACCGACGTAAGACTGACCACGGGGGGTTAGCTAGGTGGCCCGTTTATAACTGAAGATACTGCGTTGGGGTTTGACGCCCTCGGAGGGCTACCAAGAGTGTATATCAAAGATTTCCTCAAGGCTATTGGGCATTCCGGTTCGCCCGTTCACGCCCAGCCTATATGACAGGCTTGACGACTCACGATCCCGCAGGGTTGAATACGATGCTGGAAGGGTTCCAGACCAGGGCGGCGAGTGCGATATGCACGTTTGCGTATTCTCCGGGGCCGGGGGCGGAGGTGGTCCTCTTTGAGGGTGTGACGAGGGGGAAGATCGTACCCGCCCGAGGAGGGGGGGACTTTGGCTGGGATCCGGTGTTCGAGGTTGAGGGAACAGGGAGGACGTGAGTCTTTCTGTGCGGTTTGTTCAGGTTGGAGCTGATTTTGCTCTGGGGGTTGAATAGGTATGCGGAGATGGAGGCGGGGGAGAAGAACGAACCTTTCTCATCGGTTTAAGGCGCTGGAGAAGCTTAGAGAGTATTTACAGGC